CGATTTACAAATAATAACTTTGCCACTGTTACTGAGTGTATTATTTAAATACAGAACGTTGCCAATGTGACTGAGCGCTTACTTTATGTACAGAATTTTGCCACAGTGACTGTGACTGAGTGTCCATTGTATGTACTGGACTTTTCCACTGTGACAGAGTGTCTACTTTATGTACTAACTTTGCCATTGTTAATGAGTGCCTACTTTATGTACAAAACTTTGCCAATGTGACTGAGTGCCTACTTTATGTACAGAAAACCTCTAAAAGGGATTCTTTATTTTTTATTTAGACCAATTAACAACTGTTATATACAAACATATAGATTTACAAATAAATCGTAACGTAAACGAAATTTACCGACTAAAGAGTCAAATGCTAGATCGCATGCCCTTGTCCGCCATGTTATATATAATAAAGGAAGATAACAACAACAACAACTACTACTACTACAAGACCAGCTATAACAATTCAAAAACAAACTCATAAACAACAATAATAATAATAATAATAATAATAATAATAATAATAATTATAATAATAATAATAATCATCATCATCATCATCATCATCATCATCATCATCAACAACAACAACACCATCATCAACAACAACAACAATAACAACCAAAACAACAACAACCACAACCACAGCAAATATCTTCCTTTTGATTTACAAATTAAGTTATATCATGTTTACGTGCATTTAGTTTCAAGACATTAAGAAAGAGTTGTCAGTAGTGGAGTCTTCAGTAGAACCACTGCGCTTGAAGGTATTCACGCTTAGAGAATTTTACTTCGCCGGAAGACATAACGAAGTTGAGATCATAGAACAGGAAAAATCCCTCCGCTACAATTAAGTAGTTCTTGCTTCCGTTTCAGAATACTTCGATGCTATATTTCTGTCGGAAATGAGAATAATAATATCTGTCATATGTTGCGGTCTGGACCGGAATATCCGTCCCGAGGGGACCCGCACATTGGGCGGTAACGAGGCTTGCCGAGTTACCGCCCATGGGCGGGTTCCCGAGGGACGGATATTCTGAACCGAACCGCAAACATATGATAGATATTTTTTTCTTGCATATTCTGCCATATTATTTCATATTTAAAATGGTTTACCTCAATATGATATATTTTCATGAAAATTAAAGTCATTTCATCCATAACTATTTTCTTACAATAGCGTATGAACTTACAACTTTAATAACAACGGCGCAATGACGTCATCCTAAGCACATATTTCCCTTCTAAAACGACGTCATTTTACCGCGGTTCATTCATAAAGCGCGCTAAAATGACGTTGTTGTTTGGCACGCGACTCATCTGGCACCCCCATGCCAGATGAAATTTCCGGCATGGGTAAAACTCACGGAAACGCCAGTCTGCTATGCAAGAAATTGTAACGATGACTTTGTGTATCTGCAACAGTTTGAAAGATTTTCTTTTGTTGACGTCCCTGGTTTCATTTATTATGGAAAACTTATAATAAAAGACGATGACTTACTTGTTACAAATGAAGAATTGTTCGTGATTCGATTTTCCGATGGTATAAATTTTATTTGGTAAATTCAGAGCAACATATATGTGGAAACATATCAGCATATCAGAATACTTGTTCTGACTGAAATGCTCATCATTAAAAATTGTCGCGAGATCTTACAAGAGGTGATAAGTTATCAGAAGAACAGTTAGGAATTATTCTCTTCGTATCACGGTTAGGAAGTATGCCAACATGGATAATGTTTTAGTAGTAATAGTCGGATATAACGTTACTCGATTCATTTCTCCAAAATTGAGTGGATATGCTTCAGGGAAGCAGACGACACGCACTTGCATTAGGCGGATTTCTCATTGTTTTTTTAATCTATGATGACAATCAAAAAGAATAACCATGCAAAACGCTTTCGATCAACGACGGTAGCTGTAAGTAAAGAAAATGTATTTATATTGGGTGGTCTGCTAGCAGTTGAAAAAAAAAAACATTGTCCAGTGTTATTATTCTCGTTTAAAAACAACTTAACTCAAAACATTTATTGTATTTTTCTTTTAATGGTACAAACAGAGCAGATAACTCTTCCAAATATACTTGCACATTTAAAAGATGCAAATAAGTTAAAACGCAAAAAAAACCACACAAGTAAGTCAAATAAAAGATGACGTGTTTTAAACTATTTTCCCTTATCTTATTACAGTTGTTTGAAGCTGCATGCCTCCAGATGAGCAAAACTCTTTCACGAAAATCAACATTGAGAAAAACTACTAAAATTTCAAGAAAAGCCAATATTTTTTAAAACATGTCTGCTGAAATAAAATGGGAAATAAGAAAACCTTTCATTTTTTACCTAAATAGGTTGCAATGACACAAGTTTTGTTGATTTTATTTGTACAAAAAAAAATATGACTGATATACTTGTTATAATAGCAGCAACATGTAACAAAGTAATATTTTGACTTCCATACAAAATACTAAATGACTAAATTGTACTTATTGTCAACAGCAACATACTGAAGCAAATTATTGTTTAGGTAGTTACCCTTTGGAAACTATGACATGACACCAAAATTAAAGATCTTGTGACTATAATATATCAAGTTAAGCATATCTGAGGCATAATGGGCCTTTAAAGGAGTTGCATGTTAGCTATCGATTAGATACAGAAAGCTTTTAATCTTGTACACTCTTTTTCCGGAGATAATTGAGATATAAACATGTAATCAATCTTAAGCTCTTGTCGTTTGAGAATATTTCTTAACGACGCTATGCTGTAAGCGTGCACAACTACCTTATACAAAAGTGGTTTTTAATTGCTGTTTGTTGTGGGTTTTTTTTTTTGATTTTTTATTGGTTCATAAATAAAAACTTTTGGTCTTCAAAATTGTAAAAAAAATCGCAGGTATGTGAAGTTCTGAAATTAAGTGGTACTTATATCAAATCGTTACTGTATCTATATATTGAGTTAATCTTTTATGTTTTAGCAAACATTTCATTTCCAGGAACTTAATTTCCATGACCAATAACCAGTTATTTAAATGTTTTAAGCGCTTTTATGTTTTTGCAAACATTCTATTTCCCTGAACTGTTCTATAACATCTACATTACGAGCTCTTGTATGATGAACATGACGAACATGACGGGTGTCTCGGTCAGTAAAATGATAAACAGCGACACAAAAACCGTGTGAAACGTTTAACCGACCGTACTAAGTCTTATAAAAATCGTAGATTTTCAGTCTTCACTTTATTTCTCTATGACAAGATATGACGATTTGTACAAAATGTACGACTCAAATTTATTATTATATATGGATAAACTTTAATATACTGAACGACAGGCATATGACTATAGTAGGGCGTTTTATGAATTTGACATTCATTTTTGACTCATTATTGCTATTTGTACGAATATGATAAATCGATGAACAGCATGATACAGAACAAAATGCTTTTTCCTAAAAGTGTTCTATAACAATTACACAATTAATTAATAAAATAATTATCTCAAACAAGAAAATACAGAGATAACTTCAGTGCTTCAGGTGGGTCATCGTGGTATTTTGCTATCGTGGTAACACGACAAAACAACACAGTATGACAATAACATAGCCGGACAATAGGTCTACGTACATAAGATGACAAGTTTAATTCGATAGAACGATAACACGATAAAATGTTATAAGTGTTGTAAATTTATGTATCTGCACTTTTTATTTGATGGTGTTATTGATAGGAGCTCACATCGGTTCGAATCTCAATAGTATCGAAATATTTTGTTTGTAAGCTACACAGCTAGCTTATAAATATGGTGTTTATTTTTCCCTGAAATACTGAACGACAGGCATAATAGATCTTTCTCCACTCTAATATAAAAGCTGAAAGTCTTTACATGAACTTTGGTATTTTGTACCATCAAACATGACCAATAACCAGTTATTTAAATGTTTTAAAACAATGTACGTAAATTGGCGTTCACAGCCGCATACTATACGATTACGCAAAACCTGGTGTTTAGAGTACCCGTACGTAAAAAAACAGCAAGAGGTGTATTTGTAAATTCATTTAATGAAAGTTAAACTGACAAACGTATCCGAGATTAATTTCAATATCAGCCTCATCAATACATTTTCTCATTTTCATTGAGCGAAAGATCCTTATATTTATAACTCAGTAAAAGCGCTTGAGCATTACATGTATGTAAATCATCAAGTAATAAAGGGAAATAAATACTGAGGGCATAGAATCGATTCACACTAGCCCTGTTCAGCTTATCTAAATTATTTCATAATGAAGCCAGCTTGTTATGGTTCTCCTAATTCGGCAAAATTGTTTTAGATTTTTGGGGGCGCAAGCCCCCAATGTAATTACGATAAATTCAGCTTACTACCTTCTGAACGCATTTAGGCTATCTAGCTGCGCTGAGCAAAAGTAGTTCCAATATTTTGCCATAATATTCAGATCATCATAATACCTTATCTAATTCAAAATTGACTGGTCAATTACTTAATTTTAAATCCTTTTATCACAAAATTACAAATACCATTGCTTTACGCGATTTGAATATTACTACGCTAGCAGTCGATAAAAAATTATTTTTTTTAAATTTTTTCACTGTTATATTATATCCGACGATATTACCGCCCGGTGAAAAATTTTAACACAGATAACCGGCGTACCCATAATTTTCGTACCTGAATGTTGCATACCTTGTCAATAATAATATATAACAGTGAAAAAAAAATATTTTAATTTTTTTTTTTAATATATTGATATTTTATTGTATAAATAACAAAGTCAAACACAAAATTGGTCTTTTTTTTCAATGCCACTAGCACCTGTGATTTTATCAAGTCATAAATTAACTAACTATCAAAGAACACAATAATTCAGGAAGATGAAATACGATTTTCAAATTAGATAGCTTTCAAGCTTAAAATGGTTAAAAAGTGTGAATGACAGAGTAAAAATTTGTATGCGTATGAATACGAACTATTTTCCCTCGCAAGCCGTTTTACCAACTTTTATCCATTCACGCATTCTTAAAGTCTGGGGAGAATGTCAAACAAGTACCGCTATGTTTCGTTTTGATGTCGGGCAAGAAGAGACGAGATTATAAGAAGGTAAATTATTATGTTTTCTGATCTTACATGATTTTTTGCATTTCTTTTTAATGAATCAGTAAATTTATATTTCTTTTATTGGAAAATCCTTGAATACAATGTTAACATAGTATCTTTAAAGTAATTATATTTATACGTCTTGTTCATCTTTATTAAATAAATGCATTACATAAACGATTTTTTACATTGCAGGTTTTTCAAGCTGTGCTAAGGTTAATGCCATCAACAAATGTGGAGAAGTTTGTGTTAGATTTTGAGGCCGGGTTGTGGCAGGGGTTACGAGATGTTTTCCACGAGCCGCAAATACAGGGGTGTGCCTTTCATTTTGGACAAGCTTTGTGGCGTAAAGCTCAAGATTTGGGGTTACAGGTAAACATAATAAAACATTATTTTAAAGCTTTGTATAATTTTAAACCAATTTTACATTTCTCTACAAAATTATTATTGTCACTCTAATAAGTTTTATAAAAAATTATAAATGTAAATAAAAATACACACATTTAGATGTTATGGTCAATAAACTTTTTTTTCTTTTACAGAGTGCCTACAGCAACAATGATAAGGTATATAAACTGATGAGGAAGACATTCGCGCTCCCACTGCTGCCACATGAAGATATTGAGAAGACATTCGATAAGCTACAGAGTCAAAATACCGACGAAACCTTAGGCCAGTACTTTGAATATATCAAATCAACATGGATCAACAGTGACATCTGGAGCCCTGAAAATTGGTCCGTCTTCGGGTGTTCTATCAGAACTAACAATGACGTTGAAGGTTGGCATGCTCGTCTTAACAGACGTGGGACGTCAAGGGTAACCTACCCTTCTACTTGTTAACTACTCTATTGTTCCAGGAAGCCTGTGACATACCTATGATCTACAAACTGGTGAAAGAATCCAAACTTAGAAGAATTCAGCGAAAGTCCACAAGAACCATACAATCTAATTAATGAAGCTATGGGCAGAATATTCCAATAAGACTCTTTCAACAAAGAAATTTCTAGACAGTTGTGCCAGACTTTACGGTCCTGTATATGGAAAAAAAGTGCTGTGTTTGTATATAAATATATATATTTTGTATATGAATGTTCAATGTATGTGAATATATTTGATGTTTTGAAATGTTACATGTTCATCATTCCGTTTCCGTATATCTGTATCATGTCATTTTATCTTGTATTGGTATTGTAAATAATGTGTCTCTTCTCGTCTGTGATGTAAAATTTGTATATAAACTCGTCATTCCTCATCATTGTGTGTATTGTAATACTTGTGTCTTATTGTTTAATAAATTCTATTTCAGTGTTCTTTTTATTTCATGTGTCTGTGCTTAATATGTAAATTTTAATAAAAAAGTTTTGGACTTTAAATATGTCACTTCATTTTTTGTTATTGTGTTTTATTGCAAATAATTTTAATGTGATGTAATTCGTTATCATTGTTATTTCGTGTATTGTACATAAAAAATATATGTTTTTATGTGTCTTATTGTTTAATAAAGTTAAAATTTTAGCAGCGTTAGCGTCTTATACAAACAACGACATTGTAATATCCCGATAATTGGTCAATTATCACCTGCGTAAGTCGACGCAGTTACAAATACTTTCTTGAAAAAAGTACTCTACTCTAATATATATGTTACATATGTCACTTTGAATTAAAATATTAATACGAAGAACAAAAACATCAATAATTTAATTCTTTTATTACATTAATCCTCATATATATACTTTTTTAAATCACGGTCCGCCTCGTCTCGAGTGACGGTCCGCCCTGTCCCAAAATATGGTCCGCCTAGTCTCAAGTCACGGTCCGCCCTGGTACGGTCCGCCCTGTCTCACGGTCCGCCCTGTCCTGCAGTCCCTCTGACGTCATTTTCCCGAAATCGCCATCTTGGTCAGTTATTCCGAGAAAAGGTTGAGAAGATCTGCTATCAATTAGGAAGTCCCAGCTATTACGTTGATATTTTGGTTGCAATCAATTCCGTATGTATAATCAAGTTTTTTTCACAATCTGGTAAAGATATTGATATATTTCGCTTGATAGACTGCAAATTTTAGTGCAGTGTCAGCTCGGCCCTAAAACGTACTCGGCCCCGAGTCAGCTCGGCCTTTTTTCAACTCGGTCCACTTTTCAATTTATTAACAAATAAACATATTGGGTTTTTTATCATTTTTTATTGTTGAAACCACATAATTAATATCTGGACTTATTCAGAAACCTGGAAAGATATTTTCTTAAATTATTATTACATTTTTGACTATACTTTCACAGACGCTTGGGGTTTGGAGCTCAAAACGCCTTTAAAATCCAAATAAAATGCATATTTGTCAATCCCAGGACATGTACTGATCATATATATCGAAAAATCTTAATATATGCCGTTTTGATTTATTAATTCACATGTTGTGCATGGTTGCTTCAAGGGCTAATCAAATTGACATTTTTTTCACACAACTCTGTTGCCGGGGAAACTTGATAAACTTACCTCATTACCTTTGTTGATATAAACAATCAATAAAAACAACTTGTCTTTAGCAGCGGAATTTTATATACATCATATTAAGTCAGGGCTCTCGTTAGCATTTTGAGACTGGGGCCAGGGTCCATGCAGGGGGGAATTTTGCATGATTTTCGAATACTTTTCATTCAAGGGAAAAATTTTTTTTCAATAAGACTTGAAATTATGCCACATTTTGGAATGCTAAAAACTGTCCAGAACGTCTTATTTATATATACGTACTAATTTCCAATTGCTGTTCGCGGAAAACATACTAATTTCAGGTTGCCGATCGCAAAAAATATATTCGCCGATCGGCGTTTTCTATGCCAGTTAAATATTAATTTCAAGGGGGACTTTTTTGATTTTAGGGGAAAAAACACACTTTTTTGGTGGGGGATGGGGCCAATATTCGGCCCCAAATTTTACCAAACGAGAGCCCTGTAAGTCATCATTACTTTTATTGTTTAACATCTATATGATTATTATACTAATAGTATTCATGGAATTGGTAGAGGAATAGGCAGTGGCTAGCAGTATGAACCAGTATTAGCTGTATGCGAGTCAAATACGACTAGCATATACTCACTGTTGAGACTAGCTGTACAGCATTTTGAAAATGAGTTGCCTAAAACAATAATATGCAAACTTGTTTTTCTAAAAGAAGATTTTATTGAATATCATATACAATTTCAGTCAATGCGAAAGTAAAAAAAAAATCCACCCACAAGGACTGGGATCCTAAGACTGATGATTTTTTCCCCGCCCGGACTCTGACAGGTTTTTTTTGTAGGTATGGGGGAGGGATATTGCCATAATTATAAAGAAAAATATTCAGCATATATGAATTATCAGACTCAACTATAAGATACTAAAGAAAAAAATATACAGAAACATAATTGATAAAACATTAGCATGATTCACAAGAAAACAATTTACATGTACAACTTTCAAAGGTTTAATTTTGAAGATTGGAGAAAAAATATGTTTTGGTAAAGAAATTATCCGAGACAAGATGGTGGCTTACATTACTTAGCAAAAACTGGTCGTATCCTGCGGTGATTTTGGTTATCTTGGTCTGTGAATACAAGCAAAAATTAAAAAGATAGATCGATCTTGGAAGCTTTGCATATTTCAGAAGGCCAAAAATTGTTTCAAACTGGCTGAAATTTTATTCGGACATGACAACTGACTGTATCGAAATTTATCTCGACCCTACTGATTTTTAGTTGGCGAGGTCCGAGGACCGACAGCCTTTCGCACAGACTGCAATTTACAGTTGGTATAGTAATTTGTAGTGTTTGATGATCAAAAGATTTTTTTTCCTTCTGAAAATCATGGAGTTGAATAATTTAAATCTGTGTGAAAGCGCAAAGAGAAAGAGACTGAAAATTAATTTATTATTTCTATGGACATTATTATATAGATACATTTGTAATCAAACATGTGGGTCAATTTCCAACAGTAGTTGAATTATGACAAAGTATTTTTAATAATTTTATTTCACTTTTAGCTACTTGAAAATTTCATGCTGGATGTTTGCTTACCATTACATTTTGCATAAGAGCTCTATGATTGACATTAAAGTCCACGGGCCAATTCATTTCTGATATATCTTTCCGATATCTTGTTATAATATAAAAGGCTGAACGTCATCGTAGAATCATTAGGAAAAAATATAATTATATGTATATATTCATTCTTTGTAAAAATGTTAGAAGACTTGCAAGATACCGATTTTATCATTGCATTTATTTATTATTGAAAAAATGCTGAACGGCTATCCTCAACAGTGTGTATAGGCTAGAACTTTCAGTTGCATTTAGGGTCAAAATATATTGTTACAGTCATGACAGCTTTCCCGTTGCTGTCAACAAACTTTAACCTTTCATAACTTTTCAGATCTTGGTGTATTGTCTTCATACTTGGCCACAACAACCCTTCAAATAGACCAAACTAAACTTGACCTCTATATAAACATTCAAGGTAAAATATTTAAATTTTCCTGATTTTTGCTATTAGTGGCTATGACTTTGTTTTTTTTTTGAATGGATTGTCTTCAAACTTGTACGCAACAATCTTTCAGGATAGGACCTTATTCACTCATTAATCTTTGAAGCTTTTGTGATCAGAAGTTGTGTTGAATAATACAAATACAGAACAATTTCATTTACTTGGTTTTGCAATTTCTGAGACAATGGATTTTAAAGATAGTTGTTTTCTTAAAATTTAAGGACAGTATAGTAGATTGAAAAGACATTTAGTACATACTGTATATACACTATAACTACTATAGTATACTATAAAAATCTTTGTTCTTGGACAATTTTGAACAAATTGTTTCTTAAACAGTGTAAGAAATTAGGATTTGAATCGACTAGTCTGGTCGGACTACCAGATTGGAATATTCACTAGCCCAAAAGACATTTCTCTGGCACGATTAATTTGTTCAAAACAGTTGTTTATATTGCCTCTTAAAATACAGTAGCTTGGTCAGGCCTGTTACTGTGAAAAGTTGGTAGCCCGAGGAGAAATTTAGTATTCAGGGGCTATAGGACTACTGCTAATTTCTAACACTGCTTAAATTATTGATTTGACTATTGATTTCAACTAACATAATTATTGGGATACTATATGTATATCTAATAATAATTATATTTTATCTTTCCAACTTTCTGTTTCAGACGGTCGGCCTACATGTCAGATTTGTAAATGTGAACAGCACGATATCGATTTTAAGGATGCTTTAGGGTCAATGAGGATGAAATAAAATGTGAGACTGTCAATCTGACAAACCTTGCAGTGAATAAATGGTAAAATGTTTCTTTCAGTAGCATGGCATTTAAGGAAGCGGTACATGATGATTTAGAAGTGGTTGTATATGATATTTCTTAATTATTATATTCTAATAGCTTTTTAGTCCCCTACCGGTTTAACCAGAGGGGACTTTAGGTTTACCCTCCATCCGTCTGTCTGTCCGTCCGTCTGTCAGTCTGTCTGTCTGTCAGTCCGTCCATAAAAACTGGATCCCGCGATAAATGTACTGAAAATATTTTAATGAAACTTGATATATGGATAGATGGCAGTATGGAGATTATGCACGTCTTTTTTTTCTTCCTATGTTGAAAGTTCTGGTAGCTATGGCAACAAATAGCCTGAAAATATGGCAAATTGAACACATAAACTGGATCCCGCGATGACGCAAAAAGTACTGAAAATATTTTTATGAAACTTGATATATGGTAGATGGCAGTATGGAGATTATGCACGTCTTTGTTTTCTTCCTATGTGGAAAATTCTGGTTGCTATGGCAACAAATAGCCTGAAAATATGGCAAATTGAACACATAAACTGGATCCCGCGATAACGCAAAAAGTACTGAAAATATTTTTATGAAACTTGATACATGGACAGATGGCAGTATGGAGATTATGCACATCTTTTT